GCCTACAATCGGATTTAGAATAAAAAGATAACAGCCTTGGAGATGCTCTGGGAAATCTGGAGTAAAGCAGCTACAACCAGCTGCAGCATGCAAATACTACAAACATCCTCCACTGTGTTAAAACACTGCTCACCATAAGAAAGCCCTCGCACATGTTCACAGAGACAAGAGCTGGCCACCCATCTGGTAGACGACTAGTGCTACTGATGCAACTGACACCACTGGCATCACACCTCTAAGAAGTTTCAGCCTCTGCTGCTTATTTCCACCTTGGTACAGACTATCATCTATCAGGCATACTATGACTTGCTCTGCTCCAAATCTGTAAAATCTGTATCAAGAACCCTTCCACAGATAAATGTAGCAACAAGCATAGAAAGGTGTCTCTGGTATTGCAATAATTACGTAGCCACAAGAACCATAGATAGTTATTACGGTAGCGCTTGCTCATGGGCAGACAAGACGTTCCAGCGGAAAAGCACAACATGAAACAGCAAACTCCTTCATGCTTACGTTTTCAGCTCTTCCTCCAACCACACACAGGCATCCAGGTCAAGGTGGTTTGTGGGCTCATCTAGCAGCAGCATGAAAGGCCGAATGAAAAGGGCTCTGAAAAGAGAGGGGAGATGTGTGTAGGGTAAATGCAGGTAACCCAAAGCCTCTCAGCTCTGAGTTCTGAGAACTGTGTATGTGGCTCTGCAGAGCCAGGAGCAGGCAGGCAATCTCCCAGGAGGCAGCAGGCAGTATAACACTCACCTAGCAAGAGCCACCCTCATTCGCCAGCCACCACTAAAGTCCTTCAGCTTCTTCCGCTGCATGGCTGGGCTGAACCCCAAACCATGAAGGATACGTGAGGCTCGTGCTTCTGCCTTGTCAGCATCCAGCTCCTCCAGACGTTCATATAACTCCAAGAGTTTCTCACACTCCGCTGAAAGAGAGCCTGCCTGTCAGCACTTCTACCAATAAAGGGCTCTCAGCTGCACCTCTATACAGCTAGGAAAGCTCTTAGTCCATCTGCTTTACTACTATTCAGCCCCCTCCATTCCTAAGCCTGAGACACTTCTTAAGAAGCTGCACAGATTAATTTCATTCAAAGAAGTGCAACCCCACAGGACTTTTCAACTAGTACAGGGCAGCTGGGGGAAAGAGGTATTGTAACATATAAAAACTCTGCCAAGGAACCCAAATAAAACCTCTTCTTCAGTGGGGAGGGAAATGAAGGAGACGTCCCTTGGGACTCAAAGAAGCTTTACCATCTTCATGAGCCAGACGTTCCGCTTCTCGTTCTAACATGGCCCTCTCTGTATCCACCTCCATCACACACTGTAGAGGGGTCTTGTCACTGGGAGGCATCTCTCGCGTCAGGTGATAGATGTCAATATGCTCTGGGATGGGCACTTCCCGTTTTCCAATAGCTGACAAAAGCATGGATTTCCCTGTGTGCAAAGATACTCAGCAATTAATTGTTGGATTCACTGAGTTATAATGTCACAGAGAAATAAACGAGACGCAGTCAGATCCCATTGACTGCCTTCCTTTCCAACTCCAAAAAAAACCCTTGGGAATTTCTTGCCCAAGAGGCCAGAACTGGAGACACACTAGAGCTTACTGCCTTGCTGCGACAGCTGCCCTCCCAGCAAAAGCTCACCACCCCAAGGACAGGACTGAGACATGAAGAAGCTCTTTGGAAACCACTGCAGTTCAGCCCCTGCCTGGATTTAAGGAACACAGGAATCAGGCAGATTCACGAAGCCCAGACATCTCACCCAACTCCCCACAGAAACAAGTTCAAATGCACAGTCCAAAGCCAGAATGTAACCTCATACTTCCACCAGCATCCTAGCAATTCCTCTTCCTGGGTGGGGAGATGGGAGAATGGAAACTACCATGTCCCAGCCATGACTGCCTAACTGCCTGCTTTATTGTTCCCAGCATTTATGACCAGCTTTTCAGCAGTATGGCATCTTCCCCAAGCTCCAAAAACCCCATGGCACTGTGCCCCACAGCTTACCAATCCCATTGAGTCCAATAAGGCCATAGCGCCTTCCGGAGTTCAGCTCGAGTTTTGTATCACTGAGCAACTCCTGGCCATGGAAGGTCAGCGAGAGGTTAATGATGTGCACATCAGTACTGTTGGGATGGGAGGCCAGCACTCCTGTCACGGCACGGGCAGCGGCTTTCTTTAATTCAAAATCCTCCAGTTCCTTTGTAAGAGCATCCACCTCTATATGCAGAGACAAACAAGAAGTGTTATTGATTTACCAGCACAAGGGAAGCCACAAGCCTCTGTATCAATAGGCCCAGGATCAAAAAAAGAATTCTCATGCCCCCCTTTCTACAGAAATGTTGAGGAGGCTCAGATGCAATGACACTCATTTTTCAGCTTAGCAGATGGATATACAGGATATAACAGGAACTTCCACCTGCTCTCCAAAATAAAATATGACCAATAGAACTAAATGAGCAGCCAGAACAGCCAGCCTGTTATCCAAATAACAGGACTGCGACTAAACCCCATCGCTGGAAGGACTGGGGTGGGAAGAGAACTTACAAAGTATTGCTTTGCAAGCTTAAGGAAAGAGCTGGCCAAAAGAAAACTTGGATAGGAAATAAATGAAGGGAAAGTTGAGAGGACAAAAAAAGCAGCAGTACTGGAACAGGTCCTACCATTTTTTTTTTAGAAGCTAGTATGTACATATGCATGTCCCCCTCTTCATTTCCTCCTACAGTATACGAATCTTTCCTTTTCATCAGTTGCTGCCCTGAGTTACAGACTGATTTCCATTCCTTGGTGAGCCACTGCCATTTTGAAGAAGGGCACTAATGATCTCAGAAATACTCCACCTGCCCAGAGATGAGGCCTGGGGTCCAGACAGTTTGTGTTGAAGCCAGTGAAGAAGAGCACCCTGGCTGTTAGCATCCAGCACTTCTGGCAGAACAACTCACTCAGCAAAATCGCTATTATCAAGTGCCTTAACCAAGAGGGAGCAGAACTGTTAGCCGCACTGATGCAGGACCTTCTCTGAAAGCACGGGCAGTGCAGGCAGACCGTAAGAAGCAAACCAGATAAGCACACCACAATCCTTGACCGCCGACCTCTGCTCTTCAGCAGCCAGACCCACCAGCTGCTGCCCCGCTTGCCCTGACCGGTGCCGCCGGCCGTATCCTCTCACCGGGACGGTGGACGGGAGGGCCAGGCCGCTGCTCCCCAGCCCCACCAATAGGAAGGCAGTATGCAGATGCGCCGAGGCAGCCGCCGGTATTGGCCGGCTCGGTCCGGGCGGGCCCGAGTCTCCGCCCGCAGCCGGCGGCGCGGGATCGGGCCGCAGTCGCGCCAGGCATCGGCTGGGTCTGGCCCGTGACCCGGTCCCGCCAGCACCGGTGCTCTGGAGCGTGCCTGGGGACCACGAGGGCGCTCGGCAAGGAAAGGGGCCCTCGGGAGTGCCCTGGGTCTGTGTCGCACGCCATGCCTCCTGAAACAACGGACCGTGAGCTGAGCCCGAGAAAAGCCCGTGCGCCCAACAGCCTGCCGGTTACCGCGTGGGCTAAGTACGGCCAGAAAATAAACTCAGTGTAAGCTTTCCCTCGGCTGTTTCCTTTACGGAGGTCAGTACCTCTTTGTTGACAAAGTCTCTTTCATTAAGGTTGTCAGGCTCTTAGTTTCTGCAAACCAGGTATGTCCCAGAGAAAGGGATGAATAGAAAGGGATGAATAGAAAGGCTCACAGCAGTATCAGTAAGAACAGTGAGAATTCAGGCACTACGGTGGTTCCTGCCACAGTTAAAAACAACAACAAAAAAAAGCCCCAAAGCCAAACAACATTCCCCCCCCCCCAAAAAAAAACCAACAAAAAACTCCACCCAAACAAAAACACCCCAAACCACAGCTCTCCAAACTAAACTAACAAACCCCACAAAACCAAAGCCAAACAGGTCTGGGCATCAAGTACGAGAAATCGGGACAGTGTCTCCGTGAGAGAGAAGAAAGAGACACCATCAGCACCCTCTACCTTTGCCTTGCCAGCCTCAAGCAAGGGCCGGTAAACCCTTCACTGCGCAGCTCATGGACAGCCACCAGCAACTGCCGGAGGTGTCCCGCCGGCTCAAGGAGAGAGCGGCCAAGACGTCGGACGCCGCCGCTGCCCCAGCACAGGCAGCTACCCGCGCCCGTGGGGTATTTCGTCTGGAAGGGAGCCGATACCCCAATACACTGAGCCCTGGGCACAACCGCATGCGTCCGGCCAGACGCTGCCGGGCTGACCCCACCGGGGGAGGGGGGCCCGTGTGGAGCACCCGGAGCAGTGGGGCTGTCGTTACGGAGGGGCAGCCTCTCACCTGGCAGCGACGTTCCGTTGGCCTCCGGGGGCCGGACCTCCTGCGGCTCCGTCCCAGCATCGCCGTTCTCCTCTGCGGCGCGGCGTGGCCGCTGTCGGGCCTTGGCCGCCTCCTTCTTCTTGGCCGCCTTCTTCTTGGCCAGGTCCGAGGGCATGGCGCGGCGGAGGGGCTGCGGAGGAGGTGCGACAGGCGCCGTTAGGCCGCGCCGGCCCGCACCGAATCGCCCCGCCCCCGTTCCCCGCCCCGGCTCGGAGCACGCGGCGCTGCCGGGCCTGACCGCTGGCTGCCGGCCCGGCCGCTGGGCTGCCCTCGCCGTGCCACGCTGCCCAGCCCAGCCCAACCCAACCCAACATAACATAACCTGGCCCGCCCAGACCCACTCCTCTTTCCCACCCCTCGACTCCAATCGCCGCGCCGCACGCCCCGGCCCGCACCGGCTGGTCCGTGCCTTCCTTCTGTCGCAACAGGACAGCTGCTACCGCGTGCGCACGCCCCGCCCACCCCCGGAACAGCGACCAATCGGAGCGCGAAGCGTCACGCGCGCCGGGCGCTCCGCGGCTGCTCTGGGAAGCGGAGTCCGTGGAGCAGGAGCACAGCGCGCAGCAGGCCCCCGCGCACTGCGCCTCCCGGCGCGCCCCGCGCCCGCCGGCGGGTGACGTATCCACGCGGGGAGGGGCCTCGTGGTACCATAGAGGCGAGGGCACTACGGAGAGCGTAAAGGGGAAGCGGAAGTGCGTGCGGGTTGCGATGAGGCGGCTGAGGTGGCAGCGGTGGGAGAGCGGTCGGGCGGGACCCACCGCTTTAGCCTGCGACCCCGGCACGGAGACACCGGCCACCGCCGGCCTGCAGGTGAGGGAGACTCGGCGCCACTGACTCGTGCTGCCCGAACGCCTCTCGCCGGAGATGTCGTGCGGCCGCCCGGTTCCCGGGCGCTGGAGCGGCACCGTGAGCCCGCGCAGGCCGTAGTGGGCCTGCGACCGCCATCGCCCGGATCGAGTCGCTCCGCGGCTGGACGCCGCCATGCGCCTGGCTGCGCTGCTGGCCGCGTTGCGGCCCGTGCTGCCGCTCGTCCTGGGCCTCTCCCTTGGCTGCAGCCTGAGCCTTCTGCGCGCTTCGTGGAGCCAGAGCGGTGGTGAGGACCAGTGCCTTGGGGGGGTCGGCCGTCCCGGGCCCCTCGCTGGCGGAGCCCTTCCGGAGGTTGCAGATGGAAGGCTGGGTCCGGGCCATGAGGACTTCAGGCCTAGGATTGTTCCGTACTACAGAGACCCCAACAAGCCTTATAAAAAAGTGCTCAGGTAAAGTATGTTCTTCTGGCCAGGCTTTCCTGCAGAGAGAACAATCACATATGGGTGGTACTGAGGGTTCTAAACCTTCCAGTGAGTTAACAGGTTCAAGGTGGAACATGCTATTTGAAGTACCATATGTAGTAATAGCTTTATACAACAAGGCAACAGCTGAGATGGTTTCCTGGGAGGTGCAAGAGAAGGCTTTAAAAAGCTGTTAAAGTAATAAGTGCACCCAAGAAGATTGAGAATATTTCTTTTTTCATTGGTCATGTCTAATAGAACATGTTAAGTTATTCTCCAAAACTTTTTAAACCAGCCTATTAATTAGGAGAATGTTGAGCAATTAATGATAACATGTAACTTGCAAATAGTTAGCTCTGTACTTTGTTTTAATTGCACTAGCAATTTCCTAATTTGGATAAATGATGTGAGAATGTGTTTTTCTTGAAGGAAGCAAGTGTTTTTACAAAATATGTTTTTTACTAGTGCATTGTCTCTTAAAGCTCTACTTCTAGGCTTAATTGTTTCATCACTGATAGACTTCAGCATAAAGACTTAGCCTAAATTTTGCAAATATCATGAAGTTCAACAAATAAATTGCAAGGTCCTGCACCTGAGTCAGGGCAAACCCCGGCACAGCTACAGGTTGGGTGGAGAAGTAATTCAGAGCAGCCCTGCAGAGAAGCAGTTGGGGGTGTTGGTCAGTGATAAGTTAACCATGACCCATTAATGTGCACTTACAGCCCAGAAACCAACCGTGTCCTGGGCCACATGAAAAGAAGTGTGACCGGCAGGTTGAAGGTTGATCCTGCCCCTCTGCTCTCATGAGGCCCCATTTGGAGTACGATGTACAGTTCTGGTGTCCTCAACATAAGGACATGGAGCTGTTGGGGCAAGTCCAGAGGGGGCTGCAAGGATGATAAGGGTGCTGGAGTACCTCCTCTACAAAGACGGGCTGAGAAAATTTGGGGTCTTCAGCCTGGAGAAGAGAAGGCTGCGTGGAGTCCTCATAGCAGCCTTCCAGTATCTGAATGGGGCCTACAAGGTTGCTGGAGAGGGACTGTTCATAAGGGACTGTAGTGATAGGACAAGGAGTAATGTGCTTAAACTGAAGCATAGGAGATTTAAGTTAGATATAAGAGAGAAATTATTTACTGTGAGAGTGGTGAGGCATTGAAAAAGGATGCCCAAGGAAGTTGTGAATGCTCCATCCCTGGAATTGTTCAAGGCCAGGTTGGACAAGGCTTGGGGCAGCCTGTTCCAGTGGGAGGCATCCCTGCCTATTGCAGGGGTACTGGAACTAGATGATCTTAAGGTCCTTTCCAAACCATTCTCTGATTCTATAAGTCTTTGATTTTTGTCATGCAGCTGTTTGCCATGTAGGTGTGTCCTTCCATTACAGAACTCGCTACATCCAGACAGAATTGGGATTCCATGAAAGACTGTTTGTGGCTGTGCTGACATCCAAGGCTACCCTGAATACATTGGCAGTGGCAGTGAACAAGACAGTAGCCCATCACTTCTCTCGCCTGCTGTACTTCACAGGGTTGCGCAGTGCCAAGGTGCCTCATGGCATGGTGCTGGTGGCCCATGGGGATGAGCGTCCCATTTGGCTCATGTATGAGACCATGAACTATATCCATCAGCATTTTGGTTCTGACTATGACTGGTTCTACATCATGCAGGATGACACCTATGCCCAGGCTGACCAGGTCAAGGCTCTGGTGACACACCTAAGTATTAACCAAGATGTCTACCTGGGCCGAGCAGAGGAGTTTATCGGGGGGGATGAGCAGGCCCGCTATTGTCATGGTGGCTTTGGCTACCTGATCTCCCGCAGCCTGCTGCTTAAGCTTCGTCCGCACCTGGACAGCTGTCGCAATGAGATCCTTAGTGTGCGGCCAGATGAGTGGCTGGGACGGTGCATCATTGATTTCCTTGGCATCACCTGTGTTTCCCAGCTCCAGGTACTACCTCCCTTCTTGGGGCTTTGTGTTAGCTAAGCCTGCCAGAACCCATGCTCTTACTAGTTCCCCCCTGCATAGCAAAGGGGCCTTTCCTTAAGCCTCTGATATGAGTTAGGGTAAGAAAGGACTGTGTGGTAGGGCAGCATTGGGGAGAAACCTGTAATCAAAGCTGAGATGTGGGAGAGAGAGCACATACGGTTATTTTCAGCCTAGTAGCAGATGCTAATCCCCAGGTTTTTTGGAGGTCGGATAAAGGGCACACTGGTACCAAGAAGGAAGGGGGCATATGGGGGGGGAGTGGGGGGCGGTGAGGGGAGATGACAACTCTGACATTTTTGTCTCTGGGTGCTGCAGTCAGCATTGATAAGAGGGGCAGATGCATGTCTGGGGTGAGGGAATGCTTCTCTGTGAACTTGAGTTCCATGCCAGTCTTTTCTGGCTCTTGTCCACTTCAGGGCCAGAATTATCACACCTATGAACTGGCCAAAAATACTGAGCCAGAGAAGGAGGAAGAAGAGGAGTTCCAAACAGCTCTTGCTGTGCACCCTGTTTCTGACATGACCTTGATGTACAGGCTGCACAAGCACTTCAGCAGGATCCAGCTTGACAGAGCCTACCAGGAGATCCAGGACCTCCAGGTAAGTGGTGAGGGATATCTGCAGACTCCTTGACCAAACAGGTCTCCTTTTCTTTCAATACCGTGAAGGAAGAGTGTCTCTTCTGGTTGCAGGTGTGACTTGTCAGCCCCACACAGGATATAGTCCTGTGTCTCAGAAATAGCACTTCTGACACCATGTTATCCAAAACTACTGGTGTGATACTACCAAGATACCGTTCTAGGTGGTGAGGCAGGCCTGGGTGGGAGATGGAATGGATCTCTTTGAGAGTGGTTAGGGATCAGTATTCATTCTCTCTCTGCACAGATGCAGATCAGGAACCTGACATCATTGACCCCTGCAGGTGAGGTGGGCTTGACTTGGCCTGTGGGCATTAATGCTCCATTTCTTCCAAAGTCACGTTTTGAGGTAATCAGCTGGGACTACTTCACTGAACAGCACCTCTTCTCCTGTCCTGATGGCTCCCCCAAGTGTGAGCTCTTGGGAGCCAGCAAAGCAGATGTTAGTGAAATCATCGAGTCTGCACTTGAACAACTTAACAGTCGCTACCAGCCTCTGCTCCGCTTCAGCAAGCGGCAGTTGCTGAATGGTTATCGGCGTTTTGACCCTACACGGGGCATGGAATATACTCTGGACCTACTGCTGGAGGCAGTAACCCAGAAGGGCCACAGTCATGTTCTGGCCAAACGAGTTAGCTTGGTGCGACCGTTGAGTAAGGTGGAAATAATTCCCATGCCATATGTGACAGAGGCCACACGAGTGCAACTGGTGCTTCCCTTGACAGTGCAGGACCTGGATTTTGTGGCAAACTTCCTGGATATGTTTGCTATGAACACACTGGACACACATGATAATGCCTTGCTGACTTTGCTTTTCATCTACCATCCGTATGATGCCCAGCGTGTCAGTCAGGTGGATGTTTTTGCTGGAGTCAAAGCCATGGTAGGAGAGCTGGAGAAACGCTATGCAGAAGTTAAAATCCCCTGGATTAGTGTTAAAACTGAGGTGCCATCACAAGTGAAACTCATGGATATAGTCTCAAAGAAGCACCCTGTGGATACACTGTTCTTCTTGGCCAGTGTCTGGACAGAAATCAACATGGAGTTCCTGAACCGCTGCCGCATGAATACTATCAGTAATTGGCAGGTCTTTTTCCCAGTGCACTTCCAAGAGTTCAACCCTGCATTGGTGTACCGTGGTGAGCAGACTGCTTCCTCCACCACTGACTTCCTGAGGGATGGACATTTTGACAGACATTCCTTTGTCGAGGCCTGTTTTTATAATTCTGACTACATGACAGCACGTACAAAGCTAGCAGCTGATATCTTAGACCGAGATGAGGTGCTGGAAAGCATGGAGGTGTTTGATGTCTTCCTACACTATTCTGGTCTGCACCTATTCAGGGCTGTGGAGCCAGGGTTAGTGCAGAAATACGCACTGAGGAGCTGCAATCCCCGGCTTAATGAGGAGCTATACCACCGCTGTGTGCTTAGTAACTTGGAAGGACTTGCATCCCGCTCACATTTAGCCATGGCCCTCTTCGAGCAGGAGCAGGCCAACAGCACTTGAGAGGCTAGAAACATCAAGAACTTCTCAGCACCTTAACACTTGGCACTTTCTATTCCCTTCCCAGCCTTGCCATGGGTGAAGGGCATGTGATGTCCAGGGAGGAGAAGGAGGAGGACTTTCCCAGCCCTTCTCTGAGACACAGGCCTGGGCTGCAGAGAGAGGCTGTTTCCCTGGGGGTTTTGTGTTGTTTTTTTGTTGTTTTGTTTTTTTTCCTGGGTTTGGAATAAATAAGTTTCTTTCCAGGCAGACTCATGTGGTTACTTATAACCTTTATAGTGTCTGGGATGAGGGAGTAAAACAAGCTGTAGAGTTGACCTTACTTTAAACCACACAATTCTGCTGAGCAGTGCAGAGATGGTGAATATGAGCTATGTACTGGAACAAAGTTACCACTGCTATGCTGCTTTCAGTGCTGTTTGTGGTATGCCCATGTGCGTTTGTATCTTCTTTTTTTTCATTTTTCAGGGAGGCATAAATATAACTTGTCTAGTTTACTGCTGGACAAAGCTATTCAATGCGCTTTCACTTTGCTGTTTGGCTTTTTCACAACTGCAAAACATTCATTTTGTTGCATCGTCTGGAAAGGTGAAGGAACAGAAAATTCTCTTTGTGCACTAAGCTTGACTCAGTTGGAGCGTTGTGGTTGCAGTGTGCTCTAGAAGACAACCAGGAACTGTCTGAAGTTCTGCAGATGGAGCAAAATATTATCCCTGAAAATAACAGATATATTGCTTCCTATCGCAGGTGCCATGGCTAGCAGATTTAGTAGTTCCGCTTCAGTTTGACCTGCTAAGTCCTGCACCTATTAAAGTGGTGAGCCTGTGCAACTGTTCTAAGGGACAGAAAATTCTTTGGTGATGCTGTATCTTTTTTGAGTTCATGGCTCTACATGTCTTCAATACACACTTTTGGGAGCTGGTGGTTTCCTTTGGGTACAAACACCTGCTTGCCACATGCATCTTAGCAGAAGCAGGCAACTGCTTGCTTATTCTTAAGGGCTGTTATTCCAAATTCACATCTGTGTTTTCATTAATGTAATTATTAAATGAGTGAAAAGCTCTCTTTTAATGAACAGGTATGGGTTTTCAGTATGCTTCTACAGAAACAGGTTCTTAGCCAAATGTCACTTATTATATTTGATTATTTGAGGGAAAGCTTGGTAAAAGTTTGTAGATAACAAATGTTAACCAGGTGTGAGAAAATGAGGACAGGTCTGTTATACAGAATTATTTGGACATAAGATGTACTTATTCATAAAACAGGTAACTGCAAAATCATTTATGTGGCAATTAAGCAAACAGGTCATGGTTTAGATTTCTCTGTTCTGTATCACAGAGAAGGGACCTCTGGAGTTCACATAATTCAATCCCACCCCTGCACAAAGGGTCAACTAGAGCAGGTTGCTCAGGCCTGTGTCTGGTTGCATTTTAAGTATCTTGCTCTCCTGGCAATCTGTTCCAGCATGTAGTAACTTTTAGAGCCAAAAAGTTCTGTCTTATGTTTAACTGGAATTTCTTGTGTTTCAGTTTGTGCCTATTACCCTATGTCACTGGATACCACTGATAAGCATCTTCTTTCTTATTTCTCCCATTGATGATTTATATATATATGGATAAGAATCACACTGAGCCCGTTCTTCTGTAGGCTGAACAATCCCAGCTCTCATAGCCTGGCCTATTAGGACGGACATTCCAATTGCTTAGCCATCTTCACACCTCTTCACTGGACTTGCTTCAGTGTGTCTGTCTTGTACTGGGGAGCCCAGAACTGGACATAGCACTCCAGGCGTGTCTCACCAGGGCTGAGCAGAGGAGATGGATTACTGCCCTTGACCTGCTGGCAACGCTCCTAATACAGCCCAGGTTGCTGTCCGCCTTACTCCTAGGGAATGCTGCTGGTTTATGTTTAACTTGTTACCATCAGGACCCACCCATATCTACTGCCAGACTTCCAGCTTTCCAGCTGCTTCTTTGCAGCTGGTATTGCAGAAATCAAAGGTCAAAACCCTGATATGAACTTGTGAATTTCAGTGTGATGAGCCAGCAAGTGTGACTAACCCCATTCATGGCTGCATAAGCACTGTTCAAGGAAAGAGATTGTATTTGCTATACTCATGAAGAGTATGAAGTGTCGGTCTGGTGTCAGGATCAAAAGAGAATCTACAAGATTAAAAAAGCTTCAAAAGAAGTATTCAAAATCTGAATTGTTGCTTAAAAATGAGTAGAAATCTCGGATTGGTTTATTAGAAAATACTGTCTTGGTTACATTTACATAGGAAGAAGTCAGGTCTCTGCAGAACATCTTACTGAGATGCATGCTTGTTGCTATGCGAACCTTCAAAGAGTGAGAACAAGAGAAGGTTTTTCTCGTTATGAGTGGTTGTTTTGCATGAGGAAGTGCTGATCTGTTATGATCCCAGTAGTGAAAGGCCCTCAGATTGTGTAAGGTATTATTTAAAATATGATGTATTAGAGTTAACACTATAAAGAGAGAATAGTAATCATCTTGCATCCTTCAGATGCAGAGAACCCCAAGTGGTGTAGCACTGAATGGGCCTCTGGTCCACACACAGCACACCATGAAAACTGTCCGCAGAGTAGATTCTCCTATTTTGGCTACTAGAGTTATTACAGGATTAGAAAAAAACAACTATTCGTCATTTCTACTGTCAGACAGAAAGGGTGTCTGTGTGATAATTTCTTGTCTCGATTTTAGACAAAGGCAAAGCCACACAGGTGTGGTAATTGCCAGTATGGACTGAGAGAGCTGCCTGTGGGTGCTTCTGTTTCAACAAGGTGGCAGAGGTTGTCCTACAGAAAAAGAATTTGTGTGGCAAACACAGGCTGGAATGTCACACTATGTGACTAGCACAGCCCAAGCCTGTGCACACTCAGGTGAACTGTGATGTGGGTCATCAACTCCCTAATGTACTGTGGCTGTTTTCCAGTATCACTACAATAGCAGAGATGGACAGTCTAAGAAACCCCACTGCTGGTTGCCTTGATAGTATGTTTGTCTTCCTGAACACAAAAGAGATTCTGGTGCATGAAATGCCTTATGGTGCCAGAGGGGATGCATAGCTTGTGAATGTAAGTTTCAGTATGCTGTAATATCCAAGAAGAATTCCCTGAATTATTGTCCACATGCTTGGAAGGACTACAGATAGGCACTGGATGCTGTAGGGAACTATATAAGCAAAGCAAGCAGTCTGATACGATGCATGGGGGTAAAACAGTTCTCATGCGAAAGAATAAGCATTGGAAAAGGTGCAGTAAGTTAACTGTCAGGAGCTCTGGTGATGAAACAGCTGTAGGGGGATGTAGCAGTTGGGGATATCTGTAAAGTAAGCTGCTACAAAGAAGGTCTTAAAATTACAAGGGAAAGCTAGAATTATTTGTGAGTCCTTATTAGAGAAGAAAGAGAATAATGGGAAACAGGATAGTGAGATTTGATTTACTGTCATTTAAACAAAGATGTAAACCAAAAAATTGGAATGTATCATTGTTTGGTAAATCACTGCCCTTGCCAGTATGTATGGGACAATGCAATACTGCACAGAACCTGAAACTCTTAAGGGCAGCTAGTATCTTGTGAGAAAACTGAGGGTAGCTGGAAACTGGTTTTTTAACTTATTTTGTATTTTAAATCCATCTCTGAGGGACAGGAAGGGCAGGAAATACTGCCAGCAAAGTTCTGAGTCCATAAACTAAAGAGTCATGTTAGGTTCTGATCAGAACTCTGCATTCCAAGGTGAGATTAGGATATACAACAGGAACAATTGTGTCTTACAGGCAGACAGGTTACCTGTCGCAGTTATGCTCTAGTTGGAATAGTCTGGGGATAGTAAATTAGAAATGCAATAAGGCAAGTGCTGTTGAATTAAGTGATCTAGTGCAACACCAAACAAGAAAAATGTTCATCTCTTTTTATAGATACCTAACATTATGCTATAAACGACTGAAACTGGAAATGCTAATGGACAAGAAATTTAGTGTAGTTGGCATTACTGCATAACTCATACTTGTCAAGATGGTTGTACAGCAAGTAAGACTTAAGCCTTTGAAGTTACATCTTGAGTTAAAGGTGATCAGACAGCCATTACAGACTTGAAAATCCATTTAATTTAATGCAATGCTTTAACTATTAAATAGGAAGTTATGCAACAGCAAACAAGTCATGTGAGTTAAGAACTCGAATAAGAGGCAATTGTTGGATTTGGGCACTTCTACTAAAGTCCTAAGGGGACAGTTCTCCAGTCAGTGTTTTTTGAGACTTGATGATTTGGAAACAAATGTAAGATCTCTATTGATAAAATCTGCAGATGATGTAAAAAATGAGTACTGCGAAAAACAGTCGTAAAGATAGGATAAAAATGGAGAAAACACTGTAAGGCTATTCGAGTAGATTTTCTTAAAGCAGTCAAGGGCAAACTTACATTCTTGAGGAAAATGAAGGCATGTAACTCCCCCAAAGAGGACTGTACCAAAAAAAAACAAAACCAAACCCCAAACCGTTAAATCTGGAAAGAAATCGCCTGTATTAATGTGCAAACAGCTTAATTTGTTTAGGAACCACTGCTTTAGACACTAAAATACAGACCTAGCCCAACCATGTAAAGTTTGCTGTTCAAGACATGAGAACAGACCTATACAGGTGGACAGTTTGGGGGAAACAGATGCTGTTCATGTGAGACAGTAATAATGCCACTGGTGGCATAGCCCCTTTTTTTTTTTTTAAAGGCTTGAAGGGAGCAGATAAAAAAAAGAGAATATAGAACAAGTTCACGAAATTTATCTGAAGATTGGAAGAAATATTTTGCAATGAGAGATGCAGAACTTCTGTAGCGATAAGACAAAGGGTAATGGCTTTAAACTAAAAGCAGGTAAATTCAGACTAGATATAAGGAAGCCATTTTTTACAATAAGGGTGGTGACACCCTTGAACAGGTTGCTCAGAGAGGTGGTAGATGCCCCATCCCTGGAAATGTTCAAGGTGAGGCTGAGTGGGACTCTGGGAAACCTGATCTAGTTGAAGATACCCCTGCTCATTGTAGGGTATTTGGACTAGATGATCTTTAAAGGTCCTCTCCAACCCAAACCTTTCTATGGTTGTAGGATTCTATGAACTCTAATTACTAAGAATGTTGTGATCTGATTAGAGTATTGATATAGTACATTGACTGAGTAAAAATGCTGGATACTAAAAAGGGTTTTGATTGTCTAGGGGTAAGGCACAATAACAC